CCAAAAAATGAAATATCTAGGAATCAGTCTGACAAAGGAGACAAAAGACCTCTATACTGAAAGTCACAGCACTCTGAAAAAAGAGATAAAAGGAGCATATAAGAAGATGGAAAGACATTACTTGCTCTGGGTAGGAAGAATCAACATAATGAAAATGGCCATACTTTCAAAACTTCCATACAGATTTAATGCAATCCCGATTGAAATCCCAATGATATACTTCACAGAACTTGAAAAAACAATCCAAAATTCATTTGGAACTAGAAGAGACCTAGAATAGTAAAAACCATTCTAGGCAATAGAGACATGGCAGGGGGTATCACAATGCCCCAACTTGAAACTGTACTACAAAGCAACTGTAATAAAAACAGCATGGCTCTGGCAAAGAAACAGACCTGAGGATCAATGGAATAGATTAAAAGTTGCAGAATGAACCCCAGACATACCACCTCATCTTTGACGAAGAGCCAACCATCCTCACTGGAGGCAAGATAGCCTCTTTAATAAATGGTGTTGGAAAAACTGGCTTTTAACTTGCCAAAGATTAAAGCTAGATTCCTGTCTTTCAACATAGACTAAACTGAAATCCAAGTGGATTAAAGATCTAAATATCAAAATAGAAATACTAAATTTACTGGAAAGTAAATTAGGAAGAATTCTTGAAGACATTGGCATAGGCGAAGACTTTATGAACAAATCCTCAGCATCACAAGAACTTGCAAAAATATTCAACAACTGGGATTTCATTGTTTTAAAAAGCTTTAGCAGTGTAAGAGAAATCATCAAAAGAGCTAAGAGACAAACTACAATGTGGGTAAAAATTTTTACAAGCTACTCCTCAAAAGAAGGACTACTATTTAGAATATATAAAGAATTCAAAAAGATCAGACCCCCCAAATACAAAGACCGGATTAAAAAATGGACATCTGAATGGAACAGACATTTGTCAGACAAAGAAGTAAAAGCAGCAAGTAAATATATGAAAAAATGTTCCACATCACTGGTCATTCGAGAGATGCAGATGAAAACAACACTGAGATTCCACCTCACCCCACAAAGAATGGTTGCTATCAAGAAATCAACCAATAACAAATGTGAGTGGGGTTGTGGGGAGAAAGGAACCCTTCTCCATTGTTGGTGGGAGTGTAGACTGGTGCAATCACTATGGAAATCAACATGGAGATATCTAAAAGAACCAGGATTAGAGGTCCTATTTGACTCAGTCATCCCTCTGCTGGGTGTCTTTCTAAAGAATTAAAAGAATCATACCACAATGACATATGTACATCTATGTTTATAGCGGCACAGTTTATAATAGCTAAAACTTGGAAACAACCCAAATGCTTATCTGCTGGGGACTGGATAAATAAGATGTGGTTTTTCTACAATATGGTGTACTACTCAGCCATAAAGAATGTGAAACTAGAAACATTTATAGCTAAATGGATGCACATTGATGCTGTACTCTTTTTTTGTTTTGTATTGTTTTTATTTTTGGTACAGGGGATCAAACTCGGTACCTTTCCCTTGCGAGGCAGGTGGAGGAAGCATTGAGCTACATCTCCAGCCCTGAGGCTATACTCTTAAGTGAAATAAATAGGACACACTTGAATAAATACTTGAACAGTTTCTCTGGTGTGAAAAACTAAAAGTGTAAATAAGGCTCAAATGGTATAATTGAGAGTGTGAAACAGGAAGAAAATGGCTAAAGGGGAAGTGGGAAGGAGAGGGGAGAGGAAATAAGGGAGAAGAAAAAATGTGAAAAAATGGAAACAAAGTCTCTGTACACAGGGAAGGGTGAAGGGAGTGAAGAGAGGGCAGGGGTATGGGTAAAAACAAGAACGAAGGCATATCATGTAAAGGTACAAGATCCCAGTGATAAATGTAACTGCATTGTTTGCTTTAAATGTGACCATAAACTTAATGGGAGGGGAAAAATAAAAATGTACATAAGATGAGAAAATTTCTAAAATCACAGAACTAGTCAAGATTGACCCATTAATACACACAAAATCTAAATAGACTTGTAACAAGTAAAGAGTTTTAATTTGTTATTAAAAATACCTTCCCACTATGAAAAGCCCAGGCGCAGAAAAGTTCTTTGAGGCATTCTATTAAATATCTGGTGAAAAGTGACCACCAGTCATTTCAGTACTTCTAAAAACAAAAGGACAGAATATTTCCCATCTCATTCTAAGAGGCCACTTGCTATCCTGATGTCAAAAAACAAAAATAACAGAAGAGATGAAAACAACAGAACGATAACAATTAATATAGGCACAAAAATGTACAACAAAACACTAGCTAACCAAATCCAATATATCATAATGAAGTGGGATTTATTAAAAGAACATAATGTTGTGTCCTCCTATTAAAATCAGTCAGAAAATCACACCACATTAACACATGAAAGGATAAAGTCCGACACCATTTTATAATAAAACTGAAATTACTAGGAAGAGAAGGTATTGTCCTAATAATATAGAAAAAGAAAGACTTCATTAACAGAATAAAGAATAAAGAAGTCTTATAATCAACCTATTAAATGCAGAAAAAGGGATTTGAGAAAATTCATACCTATTATTACAAAAGGCCATAGCAAATATAAAATAAAAGGAGACTTTCTTAAGCTGATGAAAAATATTTTACAAAACCTCCTGCTAACTAGCATCATTCACAATGTTGAAATAGTGAATATACTTCCACCCAGAAAAAAGAAATTCACTACCTCTACTTTTATTGAACACTATTTTGCAAGTCCTATCACTGCAATTAAAGAAAAATAATAGTAATAAAATAACAAAAAATGAATTTGTCATAATTCATAAGTGACATCACTGTGCAAAGAGACTATTTCAATGAAGCTGTTTACAAACTCTTAGAAATGATAAGTGAATTCAACCAGACATCTAAGTATGGAGTAAATAGCCAAAAGTTGCATGTATTTCTTTATATATATACTAACATCAAACAAATAGAAATAAACAAAGTACAAGAAAGACTAATGCTTTTTTATTTTTCTGTTTGTTTGGTGTTACTGGGGATTGAACCTGGGGCCTTCTCACTGAGTTACACCTCCAGAACATTTCATTTTTTATATGGAGACAAGGTCTTGCTAATTCATTAAATTAATCAGGTGGGGCTGGAACTCATAACCCTCCTGCCTCAGCCTCTCAGAGTGGTGAGATTACAGGTATGGGCCACCACATCCAGCTAAGATTAGTAAGGTTTAATGTAGTAGGATATGAAAAATTCAGTGGTATGGTTTACAATTCTATATTGCAACTAAGTTCTAGTTGTTTCTTGTACCTTAATGTCAGTCTTTATAGTTTTTGCTGAAATAGTTAAGTTCAGTTTGTAATTATCATGTGCACATTATAAATGGCTGTTTAATGTCTGATAAGTGAACTAAATGAAGTATCTGTAAATTCAATTCTATTCGCTTTTATTGTTCCATATCTGGCTAATTCATTGTTTCTTTTATATCTGCTTATCTTTATATTTTAGTGACTGCATTTGAAAATTATCAAAAGAAGTAATTTGAAGACTAGAATTTGTTTATGTCAGAAAAATTGGAAATATGAACAGTATGAAACCACCTTAATCCACATGCTAGGCTCAAGATTGTTCTTTGTTACAAGGACTGAATTCAATTTCATGGGTGCTTTTACTCTCCTTCATCCTTATTCCTACAGAGCAGGCCTTTTGGATCACAAAATTAAATTCAAGTTGGTTGATCCTTGCCATACTGTATTCCTGATTTGGTCCACCTTTGCTTGTAAGAACGTGAAATGAGCTTACAATTAGTCAGTGGTATCCTTAGTTTTGCAATTACATCATTGGCAAAAGTGAACCAAAATTCATGATCATTATTCCTGGATTTCTCTCTTTTTCTGGATTTTGGCCAAATAATCACTCACTTTTTTTCCTATATTGTCAATGCTTTTAGTTATATTTAGCCCAAGAGTCATTGCAAATTATCTAGTCTATCATTACTAAAAGCTGATGCCCCAAGAATTCGAATTTCATTTATCTGTGATTTCCTTTGTAAAACACCATAAGAGGTGGCAGTATTTTAGATGAGCCCTTGAGGGATTAAAATCTGTGAACGCTTGAATTTTAAATCAAATTATGTGTATAGATTCATGTATTTATTGGAAAAATTTCATGGCTTCTTCTCCAATGGTGGCTATGTTATATACTAATCTAGTAATCAGCAATAGAATAATTTTCAAACCTAAGTAAATTTATTTGAGCAATAAACTCAGAGGCAAATCTTTGGAAGACAGCAGTGAAGACTGTGGAGAAGTCTTGATCTTATAAACTTTACTTGAGCCTTTTATTTAAACAAGTTTGAGGAGAAATTAATGGGGAACAATATAAGCTCAACTAGAAGAGGTACAAAAAAGGATTGCACAAGTCTGAGATTTGAATTAAATTTCCTGACTTTAATATAAACATGGCTAAAAAATGTAAGACAGTCTTAAATATAATCAGTAACATGATCATTTATTTCTCTTTAATTTAGAAATCCTTAAAGAAATGAATAAATTTTTGTTTGACTAGAATTTAAGAAGACAATAGTATATTTTGCTTTAACAAAATTAAACATATAACCTTTATGAAGATTCAGGTTGTATTATTAATTTTTCGATTGAGAAGGATATGGAATTAATTTAAATTTAGACTTTAACATAATCTTTGTAATCGTCAAAGATTTTAAGTATCTCAAAGGTTTTGTATCTGTGTTGCAGAATTCGTTGGCCTAAAACAATTTAGCAGCATAAAAGGAAACCTTACATCTATATATTCATATCCATTCCATTATATTCATTATTGTTAACCTAAATACCAGGTAAATAGGTTAAGAATAATTACTAAATACAATTCCCGATTAAACGCAAACGTTACCAGTCGACGTCTGTACGTTGTTCACAGTACATAATCCGAAGGTATTGAGCATAGCCGCTGCAATTCTAATGGCCCGAAGTTTTATTTACCTAGAGATATTGCCCAAACGATAGCAATCTTCATGATGGCCTTAGTCCGCGAATTGAAACGGCTATGCTCAATAGGATTACGTATTGCTACATACCGATCCAGCGATATGGCACAGAGGTGCATGATGGACGCCGTAGAAAATAGAACATCTAAAGAAATCCAGACGGGGCACAAATATCTAGGTAGTGGCCAGACATAATCTGAAAGAGAACAGACAAAAGCACGTTACCCAAATCATACTGACTTTATTTTTATATTTTATTCTGCTTATCTTTCCCTTTCCTTGATGATAATGATAACTTCAGTGTTATATAAATTTGTATTGAGGTAAACTTTATAACGTATAATTAATCACTTTAAAGCATACAGTCCAAGGGCATTTAGTACATTCACAATATTGTACAACAATTATCTCTTTTTAGTTCTTAATTATTTCATCACCCTAAAAGGAAACCACTACCCATGAAGCACTTATTCCAAGGCCTCAAACATGTTCCCCCAGCCCTGAGCAATCTCTAACCTGCTTTCTGTTGTTATGAATTTGTCTAATTTGGGTACTTTATGTAATTGGAATTAGTAATCTTTCTGCTTGATTTCTTTCACTTACTATGTTTTTTAGGTTTATTCATTTTGTAGTATTTATTGGTGCTTAAAATCTTTTGTGTGGCTGATGTTGTGACCAGTTGAGATTTTGGGACACTTTTATAATGGATTATTTATTTATTTTTTATTTTTTTTTAATTTTTTTACAAT